TTGTTACCAGTAGCGATGCCCTTGTTACTAGTAGCTTCTTGCTACTAATAGTAGTGCCATTGTTACCAGTAGCGATGCCCTTGTTAACAGTGGCTTCTTGCTACTAGTAGGAATGCCCTTGTTACCAGTAGCGATGCCCTTGTGACTAGTAGTAGTGCCCTCTTGCTACTAGTAGTAACGCCCTTGTTACCAGTAGCAATGCCCTTGTTACTAGTAGCTTCTTGCTACTAGTAGTAATGTCCCTGCTGCAAAAGCAATGCCATAACTACTATTAGCTTCTTGCTATTAGTAGTGATGCCCTGGTTACCAGTCACGATGCCCTTGTGACTAGTAGCTTCTTGCTACTAGTAGTAATGCCCTCTTGCTACTAGTAACGCCCTTGTTACCAGTAGCGATGCCCTTGTGACTAGTATCTTTTTGCTACTAGTAGTAATGCCCTTGCTACCAGTAGGGATGCCCTTGTTACTAGTAGCGTCTTGCTACTAGTAGTAATCCCCTTGTTAACAGTAGTGATGCCCTTGATACTAGTAGCTTCTTGCTGCTAGTAGGAATGCCCTTGTTACTAGTAGCTTCTTGCTACTAGTAGTAGTGCCCTTGTTACCAGTAGGGATGCCCTTGTTACTAGTAGCGTCTTGCTACTAGTAGTAATGCCCTTGTTACCAGTAGCGATGCCTTGTTACTAGTAGTCTTGCTGCTAGTAGCAATGCCCTTGTTACTAGTAGCGTCTTGCTACTAGTAGTAGTGCCCTTGCTACCAGTAGCGACGCCCTTGTTACTAGTAGCTTCTTGCTACTAGTAATAGTGCCCTGGCTACCAGTAGCGACGCCCTTGCTGCGAGTAGCTTCTTGCTACCCTTGTTACCAAGAGGGGTGCCCTGGTTACCAGTAGCTTCGTGCTATTAGTAGGAATGCGCTTGCTACCAGTAGCGATGTTTTTGTTACTAGTAGCTTCTTGCTACTAGTGGTAATGCCCTTGTTACCAGTAGCGATGCCCTTGTGACTAGTAGCTTTTTGCTACTAGTAGTAATGCCCTTGTTACCAGCAGCGATGCCCTGATTACTAGTAGCTTCTCACTACTAGTAGTAATGCCCTTGTTACCAGTAGCGATGCCCTTGTTACTAGTAGCTTCTTGCTACTAGTAGTAATGCCCTTGCTACCAGTAGCGATTCCCTTGTTACTAGTAGCTTCTTTCTACTAGTAGTAATGCCCTTGTTACCAGTAGCGATGCCCTTGTTACTAGTAGCTTCTTGCTACTAGCTACTAGTGGCAATGCCCTTGTTACCAGTAGTGACGCTCTGGATACTAGTAGCTTCTTGCTACTAGTAGTAATGCTCTTGTTACCAGTAGCGATGCCCTTGTTACTAGCAGCTTCTTGCTACTAGTAGTAATGCCCTTGTTACCAGTAGCGATGCCCTTGTTACTAGTAGCTTCTTGCTACTAGTAGTAATGCCCTTGTTACCAGTAGCGATGCCCTTGTGACTAGTAGTAGTGCCCTCTTGCTACTAGTAGTAACGCCCCTTGTTACCAGTAGCGATGCCCTTGTTACTAGTAGCTTCTTGCTACTAGTAGTAATGCCCTTGTTACCAGTAGATGCCCTTGTTACTAGTAGCGTCTTGCTACTAGTACTAATAACCTTGTTACCAGTAGCGATGCCCTTGATACTAGTAGCTTCTTGCTGCTAGTAGGAATGCCCTTGTTACTAGTAGCTTCTTGCTACTAGTAGTAGTGCCCTTGTTACCAGTAGGGATGCCCTTGGTACTAGTAGCGTCTTGCTACTAGTAGTAATGCCCTTGTTCCCAGTAGCGATGCCTTGTTACTAGTAGCTTCTTGCTGCTAGTAGGAATGCCCTTGTTACTAGTAGCTTCTTGCTACTAGTAGTAGTTCCCTTGCTACCAGTAGCGACGCCCTTGTTACTAGTAGATTCTTGCTACTAGTAATAATGCCCTGGCTACCAGTAGCGACGCTCTTGCAGCGAGTAGCTTCTTGCTACCCTTGTTACCAAGAGGGATGCCCTGGTTACCAGTAGCTTCATGCTACCAGTAGGAATGCGCTTGCTTCCAGTAGCGATGTTTTTGTTACTAGTAGCTTCTTGCTACTAGTGGTAATGCCCTTGTTACCAGTAGCGATGCCCTTGTTACTAGTAGCTTCCTGCTTTTAGTAGTAATGCCCTTGTTACCAGTAGCGATGCCCTTGTTACTAGTAGCTTTTTGCTACTAGTAGTAATGCCCTTGTTACCAGTAGCCATGCCCTTGTTAATAGTAGCTTCTTGCTACTAGTAGTAATGCCCTTGTTACCAGTAGCGA